CCAGACTTTAATGTAACAGCAGCTATTTCTAGCTAGTATCGTTTGCATCACATCTTTACACAATTATTTTCTTTTATGAAATGATGTAGAGCTAAAACTCACGTGAACAGAAATGGCATGATACTGAGTTGATTTGGACTAGTTTGCCACATGTTCAATTTGTGACTTTCTGGTGTGGCTGTCATGAGGGTGCACCATGCAGAATGCCCTTTCAGAGAACCTGTTGCTCCCTTTCAAAGGCCATCACTGTGGCCTTAGGTTTTGATTCTTTGTTGCTGTTCAGAGTAAAATATACAAGAAGAGATAAAGAAAATGTCAAAAGATGTTAATAATTGATATACACTTTAATATTGTTTATTTTTGGATTCTTTCAACTCTTCTACAGGTGTAGGTTTTAAAATAAAATTTGAAGGGAAAAATTTATCTTTATCTACTGCAACTTTGGATCCATTGTAGTGTTCATGCCCAGGCATGACCAAGCAGCTGCCAGGCAATGACTGGGCACCATAGGGACACTAAGCATGGCTATTGCTGCCAAATGTGGACTCCTCTAATGAGTAACTTGACTCTGCAGCTCCCATTATCCCTGGTGAGACCTTCTCAGAGATATACTGCAGTCTGAGGCCCCTCCTACCAAATTCTACTCGTTGTCCCTTCATCCCTGACTTTGGGAGGTTTTTACAACCTCCCTTTCACCTTTTTCCTTCACTGACTTTTTCCCCAAGAAATAATGTCTGAAGTACTCTCTTCTTGGCATATTCTTCTCAAAGGAATCTTAACCCTTCAGTGTAGAGAATGAAGATCCAAGCTACATGCTGAAAACAAGGGTGAGTCAAAAGCCTTTCCATCCCTTTTCTGGCTGTCCATGTTACCCCACATGTTGGCAGGTATATTTAACACAATTATGTTTCTAAATTTAATCCTGTCACTCTTTATAGTTACTGAAAATTCAGTGTGAATATACTTAATTCAAACTTTATCCTGTTTTCCTTCTAAATGTATATATGGATGTATAGAGTGAAAGATGCAAGAGCTGGTATTACTTGGACAGCTATCACCTTTTAAAATCTTAATATGCTGCTAATTTCTGATGATAAGTTGGTATACTTTTCTGACCATGCAAATACATTTAAAGTCTATGCTGTCCTTTTGTACTTTGGCTATTGTCTCTTTTTTATTTGCTGAAACTGGTACAGCTACGTATTTCTTTGATTATTTGTATATTAAATAAAATAGAATATTTAAGTATCAAGTAAAAGTCAAAATACTTCAGTATCATGATATCACAGTTAGTGATCTAACACAATAATCAATTTATATTTTTTCCAAATATCAAGAATATTAGGCATTTTAAATAAACTATAGAACATATTTATAGCACAAAGAACATATTTCTTTTATGAACAAAATAATCTAGATATTATTATTAGGATTTTGAATGTAAAACAAAGTGGTCCAAAGAGTAACATCCACAAAGTCCAATAACACTGATAATTCATCAAATAATTACTAACACACAAACATACCCAGCAACATTTTTAGGAGGTGTGGGAGTAATAACAGAAAGTAATAGAAGATATAGTCAAAACCACTTACAATATAATGGTGCAAATGTGTAAATGGAAGGATAGGAGATAATAAAATTAATAATTGAAATTTAAAAATACCTTTGAACCCTGGGTTAAAGAGCATCTGAGGATACCGGGGAAACTTTCAGGTAACACTATCAAGAATACAGTTTCAGCCGAGCAGAAAATTCAAGTTGCACAGGATGAGGAGGAAATGAATATAGAGAAAATTCAGTGAAAAAGCTTGGATAATTTCTAGTATGCAAGAAATTTCATTCCCAGTATGAAAAAAAAAGTGTAAAATAGAGTGCCAACTATGAGGTGGAAGGAGAATAAGCTATATGTTTTCTATATGTTTTAAGCTTTAGGCCTCAGAATTTGCCCAGTCTTTCTCCTGACTTCATTTTATTGTATGGATATAGTCCATAAAGATTAACTGACTTTCCCAGGTCATATGCCTATTTACGATTAGGCTGCTATTTTAGGCATGAACTCTGCCCATGCCTATGTCCTGAATGGTATTGCCTAGGTTTTCTTCTAGAGTTTTTATGTTTTTAGGTCTTATGTTTAAGTCTCTAATTCACCTTGAGGTTAATTTTTTATAATGTATAAGGAAGGGGTCCAGTTTTCCGCATATGGCTACCCAATTTTCCCAACACCATTTATTAAATAGGGAGTATTTTCTCCATTGCTTGTTTTTGTCATGTTTGTCAAAGATCAGATGGTTGTAGATGTGTGGCGTTATTTCTGAGGCTTCTGTTCTGTTCAATTGGTCTATGGATCTGTTTTGGTACCAGTATCATGTTGTTTTGGTTACTGTAACCTTGTAATATAGTTTGAAGTCAGGTAGTGTGATGCCTCCAGCTTTGTTCTTTTTGCTTAGGATTGTCTTGGCTATACCAAAAGCAATGGCAATAAAAGCCAAAATTGACAAATGGGATCTAATTAAAGAGCTTCTGCATAAGAAAAGAAACTTATCAGAGTGAACAGGCAACCTACAGAATGGAAGAAAATTTTTGCAATTTATCCATCTAACAAAGGACTAATATGCAGAGTCTATAAGGAACTTAAACAAATTTACAAGAAGAAAAACAACCCCATCCATAAGTGGACAAAGATATGAACAGACACTTTTCAAAAGAAGACATTTATGCAGCCAAAAAACATATGAAAAAAAGCTCATCATCACTGGTTATCAGAGAAATGTGAATCAAAACCACAATGAGATACCATCTCACACCAGTTAGAATGGCAATCATTCAAAACTCAGGAAACAACAGATGCTGGAGAGGATGTGGAGAAATAGCAATGCTTTTACACTGTTGGTGGGTGTATCATTGTGGGAGACATTTGGGGATTTTTCAAGGATCTAGAACCAGAAATACCATTTGACCCATGGTATTTCTGGTTCTAGATCCTTGAAATATACCCAAAGGATTACAAGTCATTCTACTATAAAGACACATGTATATGTATGTTTATAGCAGCACTATTCACAATAGAAAAGACTTAGAACCAACCCAAATGCCCATCAATAATAGACTGGATAAAGAAAATGCCGCACATATACACAATGGAATACTATGCAAGTATTAAAAAGGATGGGCTCATATCCTTTGCAGGGACTAACAACATTCTCAGCAAAATACCAAGCACTGCATGTTCTCATGTGTAAGCGGGACTTGAAAATAAGAACACACGGACACAGGGAGGGGAACATCACACATCAGGGTCTGTCAGTGGGTAGTGCTAGGAGAGGGATAGCATTAGGAGAAATATCTAATGTATATGACAGGCTGATTGGTGCAGGAAACCACCATGGCACATGTATATCTATGTAACAGACCTGCATGTTCTGCACATGTATCCCAGAACCTGAAGTATAATAAAATAAATTTAAAAGAGGTTAGGCAGGTAATAGAACCTGTTCTTCCATTTTATCTTAGTGCTTGTTCTATTATACAATGGTGGAAGGGCCTAACCTAAAATATTATTATGCTCAAAAGTTATTTTCATTATAATAATTTTTATGGCACTTGGTATTTCTTGGAGCATCATGTAAGCATATAGAATCCAACTGTAGATATTCTAAAATTCAGCAATATTTCATCTCCTCCTCCTTCTGTAATACACAAAGTTGGCTCGTCCTTCAGTATTTCCTTGCCTGATGATCAAAGCTAACTTTTCAGGTTTCTCTGTTTGGTTTTTCATGTCATACCTCAATGTCCTGCTGCCTTTCAGAGGCTGGATATGAGGAAAGGATCTATGTGCCATGATTTCTGTAAATTCAGATGTTGGTTGGTCTCTGGATGGCCTTAACCAACCCACTTTCTCTCCCCTTTCTTTCTTGTATAGAGTTCTGAGAATAACTGTAGCACGTGTTAACAGTGCAAACCCTGAGATAGGGAAGAACTGCCCAGGACAGTTCACCCTATCACCCTATCCTGAGATAGGGAAGAACAGCCCCAGACATCTGGGCCTTGTTTCTGTCTCCCCTAGAAACAAGATGTCCTTCAGAGTTTTACTCAGTGAGTCACATGGTCATGTAACCCTGAGCAGGCTGCCTTTCGGAGTACCTCATCGTCAGTGCAAGTGGGGCACACACATTCCACACTCTGTCCACCCCAGGCAGCTTTCTGAAGATTGGGGGACCAGTTCACAATGAGTCCTATGCTTCTGTTGTCTTTTGCAGACTATTCATACTTAGTAAATTTGCTTCATGTACCTTGTGGATAAGTGTGCCCTGTTTCCCTGGACTGAAATTGTTAGCCAGTGCACAGTGAATTTGCTCCTCATCAGATGATTAAGAATATACAATTCCAATGTAACACAAGTGAAGAGGCACCAGAATCAAAGATAAATAATTGATAACGGGGTGATTTTTAAATGTTATTCCAAGAGCCATTTCCTTTAGCTTCAACTTAGTATAACGACATTGAAATGAAGTTACAATTTGGAGAGTAAATTTGGCTTGTAAAATTTTGTGAAAGTCTCTCTCTAACTAAATTTATCTGTGATTTTGCCTGACTCATGCCACATGGGGCATGTTACCAGTGGAGGGTTCTTGAACAAAGAATTGGACAAAATGCACAAACAAAGCAAAGAAAGAACAAAGCAGCAAAAGCAGAAAGTTATTAAAAATAAACTCCATGTGTGGGAGCAGGCTCAAGCATAGGGTCTCAAAGGCTCCCTGCAGAATTTGGGGAATTTTAAATACACTGTAGAGGTTTCCATTGGTTTCTTGGTGTATGCCCTATGTAAGTGAAGAGGAGGAAGTAAAGTTACAAATCACTTACTTAGCGAACACCCTATGTAAATGGAGAGGATATTTCCTGTCATAGCTGAAGTGTGAATCGGCCTTATGTTCCCTGCCTCCAGATCCTATTTTCATGCCTCAGGGAGAATCTTGCAACCATAAAATTTCCCAAGTTCCTGTCTTCAGTAGTTATTGTCATTATTTACACTGTGTCTAGGGCTACAGAAGCTCCTGTGTCTGGTTCCCAAAACACTTAAAATATAAATTGAAAAAGTATGGAGTCACTTATCTTCTCTCTGCATCTACAAATTGATAGAAAAAGTACAGAAAGAACAGAATTGAGAATAGACATAATAATATAAAATAGTGAGTTCTGCTAATTTTTAGTCCCGTACCCTATCACTGGTACATCTGATTCATCCGAGCTTTTGAAACAAATTGGTCAATTAGCACTGGGTCATTTGTTTAAGATACAATTCATTTCAGAGAAAATGTCTTTTAGTTTATTTCTTTAATGCTCTATAAAAAGTTGAGATATGCTTCTGAGGGAATTGGTTATAGAAATAATTATTTAAATCTGCATTATTAAAAGAACTGGAATTTTTTCTAGAGAAATTTATTGTGACATTTTATATTATAGAATAGTAATTCATCCTATAGGATAGTGTTTTCCTAAACTATAGATGTGTTCTAGGTACAACGAGGGTCCTTGTAATTTATGTGTTCCGGCTAAGAAGCAATCATTGTGTGAATATAGCCATTACTGAAAGGTGGCAGAGTATTCAGTGATACAGCTATACATGTTAGATCATTTCATTTTGATATGTAAATATCTATTTCTATATATTAATTGTAAATAGAGAGCAACAGATTTAAATGTAAAAGAAGTGATCCTTATTTCAGTTGCCATTCTGTTTTTTGTCATGATGTAAGTTACTAAATTCCTACATTTATTATGTTGTAAATGTGGTGAATAGGAAAATGGTATCTTCAGAGACTTGACAATATATTAAGCATCTCAGTTTTTTTATATCAATATCTGACAATATAAATAATTTTGCATACTCAAAAGGGACACTGTAGTAGTTCAATGCCATGTACTTCCTTTATTTCTGCATAAACCAATCTAGGTATAGTCATTTATGAGAGAAGTATAGTCTGCTTTTGGCAGCCATACTTCTTCAGGAAGAAAAAGACTCTGATTGTAAAAGTTATTAACTGTTCTTTTATAAGGCTTTATAATTGGCAAGGCACAATTTAATATATGTGATCTCTTGTAATCCTTATAAAAGGGCTATGGTTTAGTGATGAGGAAACAGAACTAGCTATTTGTAAAACCAGGATGCAGAGCTATGTATTCTGAATAAATATGTGACCAGTATAATTTTCACTGCATTGTGATGAAGGAAATAGAAATAAATTGTGATAACAAATAGAATGAAGATATAGATTAATTCTAATTTTAATCATGACATATAGCTGTAAATCAAGTTTTTCTCTAAGCAAATTATTATGTGGTATAATAATTGATGTTTTAGGGATTAGTGAGTTTTCAAGCTCTGCACTTCAATGATAAAAATAGTATATAATAAGATTAAATTTAATGAAAAAATATTTATTTCCTGTTTTTATTTATGCAAATGTATGTGGTGCGTGAGAAGACTTTTAGATGAGTTGAATGCACAGTGATCAAAGGGGGTTAGGTAGGTTGTTATTACCCAAGTACATTTTTTTTAAGTATAGTCATCTTACTGTGCTATCAAACATTGAATTTATTCTATCTTACTGTCTGTTTGTACCTTTTAGCACATTTATTTTCATTTTTTGTTCTCCCCTCTACTCACACTTCCCAACAGTTCATCTATTTTTCCACTCTCTGCCTCCATGTGCTCAAATGTTTTTAGCTTCCATATACATGAGAATGTAACTAAATGCAAGTCCAGCCACTCAGCAGTTTCAGAGCCAGATAACAAGAGTGAGGTATAGTAGGAAGAAAGTGACTTCATCAAAACCAGTAATGAAGAAGCGGCCAGAGTTACATCCAAAGTAACCACTTGGAATTTCTGGGGAGAAGGCAAGTGTTTAAAAAGGGAAACTTAGCCGGGCGCGGTGGCTCAAGCCTGTAATCCCAGCACTTTGGGAGGCCGAGGCGGGTGGATCACGAGGTCAAGAGATCGAGACCATCCTGGTCAACATGGTGAAACCCCGTCTCTACTAAAAATACAAAACATTAGCTGGGCATGGTGGCGTGTGCCTATAATCCCAGCTACTCAGGAGGCTGAGGCAGGAGAATTGCCTGAACCCAGGAGGCGGAGGTTGCGGTGAGCTGAGATCGCGCCATTGCACTCCAGCCTGGGTAACAAGAGCGAAACTCCGTCTCAAAAAATAAATAAATAAATAAATAAAAAGGGAAACTTGATATAGGAGGCATGGGGGAATTGTGCTGAGTAAAATGTCTATGTGTCTTGTTTTGTGGCTTATCTTGGGCTTCAGTTCACCTGGAGTACCCACTGGCATCATCTCGAGAATGGCTGGATTGTTGACTAGCTGACCTTTTCGCAGGCAAAGTCTCCAGGCTTAGTCTGTGTATTTCAAGATTAGCCCGCAGAACTTCTAAGTAGGCACATAATTAGATACTAGTATAGAGTTAGATAAATGTGAAGGAAATATATAGTGGGAAAGGGAGGGATGCGAAGCCTATTTTAAGGTTAAGAACAAAAAGCTTCTGCAGTTTGCTTCAAGGTTAGATGGAGACTAGGAAGAAAAGTGAAAAGGGGAAAATGTTTTAAAATGCATTCTGGAGTTAAGCTGCTTACAATAACATGCAATGCTTGACGTTTTATGCAGTCTTTATTTCACTGAAGGTAATGCCCTCCAGTTTCATCCATGTTGCTGCAAAGGACATGATTTTATTATTTTTTTAATGGCTAAAGACTATTCCATTGTATATTTATATTATGTTTTATTCATCCATTCATCGCTGCATGAGCAGTTAGGCTGATCCCATATCTTTGCTTTTGTGAGTAGTGCTGCAATAGACATGGGGTACAGATACCCCTTTGTTATATCCATTTCTTCCCTTTTGAGTGGGTACCAAGTTGTGGGATTGCTGAGCTGAATGATAATTCTGTTTTTAGTTTTTTGAAAAATATTTATACTATTTTTCATACTGGCTACGCTAGTTTACATTCCTTCTAGCAATGTCTAAAATTTCCTTTTCTCCACATCCTTGCCAACGTCTGTTTTTTGCTTTTTTTAAAAAAGCATTTCTATAATAGCCATCCTGACTCAAGTAAGATTACTTGAGTCAGATATTACTCAAGTGATATCTCATTGTGGTTTTGCTTTGCATTTCTGTGATGATTAGTGATGTTGAGCTATGAAATATTATTTGATAAAATTAATTTCTATGCTGTGAAATTCTGAAAGTGCCAGAATAGACATTAAAAAGCAGTTTATGAAATGCAGAATACTCTTTGAAATATCAGAATTGGAAGTTTTGATGGCTAATACTGCGTGTCAACTTGATTGGATTAAAGGATGCAAAATGTTGATCCTGGGTATGTCTGTGAGGGTGTTGTTGAAGAATATTAAAGTTTGAGTCAATGGGCAAGGCAGACCCACCCTTAATCTGGGCAGGCACCATCTAATCAGCTACCAGCAAAGTTAGGATACAAATCAGGAAGAATAACCTGAAAAAACTAGACTGGCTTAGCCTCGCAGCCTACATCTTTCTCCCATGCTGGATGCTTCCTACCTGTGAACATCAAACTAAAAGTTCTTTGGCTTTGGGACTCAGACTGGTTTCCCTGAACTTCAGCCTGCAGAGAGCCTATTGTGGGACCTTGTGATTGTGTGAGTTTAATACTTCTTAATAAACTCAGATGTAGATATAGATATAGATATGTATAGATATATATCCTACTAGTTCTGTCCCTCTACAAAACCCTGACTAATACTGATTTTGGTAACAGTAGTGGTTCTAGAGGAACATAATATTAAGGACAGAGTTTTTCCATTGGTTTTGGGATTTCTAGAGTTGGCTATTTAATATGATTAGACCCCAAAATGCTAAGGACTCTACTTCTAATAGTATGGAGAACGCTGATAGTCTTTGGCATGAACTGTTTAAAGAGTTATGTGAAATAAGTGCATGTGACACTTTTAATTCACTGCTTGTGAGAGGCAAGGAGTTTAATGACTCTGTAAATAATACCTTTGACCATATGTGGAGAACCAAGGAAGATAATGAAGTTGGTTGATCGCTCCTAAGTTCACTGGAAAAAGTGATGAAAGACAATATAAACTCAGAGATTTTAACTCCTGGCTTTAGGCGCAGATACAAAGCCGCAAATCTGCTAAGGTTTTCCTGAGTGAGAGTCTAATCTCCTGGAGAGAAAGAGATAAAATTGTGGAAAAACAGACACAAGTTCTTATCAAGCAAGTGGCTGATTTGCAAAGAATCACACATATATAAGTATATGTGGATATATATGCATATATAAAGGGGAATATATTAAGGAATATTAAAGTCACACAAACAAAAGGTCCCACAGTAGGCCATCTGAAAGCTGAGGAGCAAGGAAGCCAGGCCAAGTTTCAAAGCTGAAGAACTTCAAGTTAGATCAAGGGCAGGAAGCTTCTAGCATGGGAGAAAAATGTAGGCATTTTCTATTTGTGCCACCTATTCTGTTTCTTTTTTTTACATTCATAATTAATTTTTGATAGACTTGAAAATTTAAAAGTTTTATTGAATTAATATATCTACAGAGATGTACACCAATGAACTTGGAGATTTTGATGTATTAATACAAAACAAATTAAGGCAATAAAAATTCATTTAATAATAGAACATTATCAGAAGCCTGAAATGCCTTTTTGTAATCTCTAATCTCTTCCTCCTCTATCTCTGCAAAGATAACCACTATGTTGATTATTAATACTATGTATTAGCTTTGCCTGTGTTTTATACTTATATAAATAGAATCATAGAGCAGATATTCTTTTCTGGCCTGGTTATATTTTCTTAATATTATGCTAGTACAATATATTTGTATGCTTGTGTATAATTGAAATTAGCTAGTGTCAGTGTTTATAGAATACAGCTATAATAATATATGTATTATTTGATTCCTCTAATATTTATAAATATTTGGGTGGTTTATGCTTTTGGCTAATACAATTTTTCAATATTTTTACATATGGTTTTTGTTACATATAAGCATGAAGTTTATTATTGATTCTCAGCGGGGGTGATTCTTCCCCCGCCCCAGAAGACATTTGAAATCTGATGACATTTATGTATATTACAACTGTAGGGAGTGGTTACTTTGGATGCATAAGTGGGGAGAGAATAAGGATGTGGAAAAATATTTTCCAATCATCAGACAGCCTCCCAAAACAAAAAATATTTCTCCCCAAAAATATCAATCATGACATGATTGAGAAACTTGCTTTAGAGTGTATATCTATGAAATCTTGAGATCTAGCAGATTAAGCCCTCACACTTTATTCTTTTTTCAGTATATCCTGCTCTGTTACACTTTATATTTCTATATAAAATTTAAATCAGCATTGATTTTTGTATTAAAATGACTAGAAATTTTAAGATTACACTAAAGTCATATATCAGTTTGTGAAAATTGTTGTCTTTGAACAAACGAGTATTCAGTCTATGACTCTATTGTATTCTTCAACTTATGAACATTAAAAAAATTCTCAGTATTATTTTAAATTTCTTTCCAAAGAAATCTAAACGGTTGGTTACATTTGTGTGTAGATATATGGTGTTTTATGATATTTAAAAGTCATCTATTTTAAATTGCATGTTAAATTTTTTATGCCTTTTTTTCCTAATTGGGCTTGCACCTAATTTATTTTATAATGTATATGTTAAGCTTAATATCTTCTAGGTTTTATTTTCTATGAAAGTTATTATGTCATATGTGAAAATGACAGTTTTATAAATTTTTTCTTAAACCTTTTTTTGTCTTATGGTACTAGGCTATAAAGTCTAGTAAAATATTAATGCAAACCATTTTAGGGAGCATACTTCTTTTATTTTTAAACATTATAACTTTCGATATGTATGACACTGTTTCAGTGTTTCAGTATTTCATACTTTTTTCTCTCTGTAATTCAATCTGAATGTTTACTTTTGTATTACAGAGCAATCAATCCTATTCTCAATTAAGTGTAATCTGCTACTATACCTTCTTTTGAGCTCTTTTTTCAAGATTTTACATATTATTTTTCACGATAAAATTTTCATTTGCTTTTTTTTTTTTTTTTTTTTGCTTTCAGTTCTCCATCAACGTTTTTACTCTAACCTGTTGATATCTATGAAGTCATAGAAACTACTTGATTTAAAGTTTGGGACCCTTACCACCATTATATGGATCTTAATGAGACTCTTTGTCTTACTTGGGTTTTCTCTATGTGATAATATGGTTTTGTCTCTTCATATGCTTGGTTAGTTTTTCTACTATTTTGTTTTGTTTTTTATGAGTGACAATTATTGCAAATACAACATTTTAGAGATAACTTGAAGTTTTGTATGAGATATTCCTCAGAAGTATAATTAAGTTTGTTTTGCCAGGGTGTTAGCCTATGGGCAATGATCACTATAATCAGGTAAGAGATTATATAATTGGAACTAGAGGTGTAGTGTCTGTGAGGACCCATCTATTTCCAGTTTCTCCTTATTCTTAGTAAGTAGGCCTTCTGAGACCAACTTAAAATGGAATATTATGCAGCCATCAAAAATGATGAGTTTGTGTCCTTTGTAGGGACATGGATGAATCTGGAAACCATCATTCGCAGCAAACTGACAGAAGACCAGAAGATCAAACACCGCATGTTCTCACTCATAGGTGGGTGTTGAACAATAAGAACACATGGACACAGGGAGGAGAGCACTACACACTGGGGTCAGTTGGGGGGAAATAGGGGAGGGACGGTGGGGAGTGGGGAGTTGGGGAGAGATAGCAAGGGGAGAGATGCCAGATGTAGGTGATGGGGAGGAAGGCAGCAAA